GAAGAAGAAGAAGAAGAAGAAGAAGAAGAAGAAGAAGAAGAAGAAGAAGAAGAAGAAGAAGAAGAAGAAGAAGAAGAAGAAGAAGAAGAAAAAGGGAAAATATCACAGGTTGTTTGAAGGAAACTTCAACATCACAGCTCAACTGCTAAGCACAACCTATGTCCCCTTCCTATTGTTTGTATGACTACAGTCTAGATTCAAAGGGCAAAAGGCAATTTGGAACATGGGTGGGTATGCACATAACAACTGTCTCTTTAAATTTAAGGCATGTCTTCCTGGAACTGGGAAGAAAAAGATGCAACTTCTTTAAAGGGTTGCCAACAGGTAACCCACACATCCCAAATTAGCTATTCTCCTTCAAATCTTCTTCACTACACACACCTACCACTCCGTGTGTAGCAACAGATGGAACAGTTGGCAGTTAAGAGTTTGCACTGAAGTTGAATCCGCATATTCTTTCTAAGATGCAGCTACTGGTAGATCTTTTTAGCTGATCAAGGTTGGGATATGATAATAACAGGCAGGAGAATTTTTAATTGTTCAGCTATTTCATTTCCATTTTGGATTGGATCCTCCATAATTAAGTAATGGCATCTGTGAACATATCCCCCTTGCAGTGCCAAAAAGTAATCCACTGTAATAATGAGATCACATTTTTACAATATATAAGAGGCCTGATTCAGAGCAGGGCTGCAGAAGAAGAGTGCCAAACAGCTTAAACTCAGCATCTCAATGAAGTTCCTTGGTGTTACTGTAAACAGCCAAAAGGAAGTCATATTTATTTTTATTTATTTATCTTACACTTTTCTATCCTGTTGCAATCAAAAGACTCTTGGAAGCTTCCACAGAATATGAGCTGGTACTGGCAGAACAGTTCTAAGAACTTCCGTTCAAAAGCAAATCTCTCTTCAGTTGGAGTCTTGTAATCCAACTGAACAGGCATTAACTTAACTTTTTCAGTAGGTCTGAAATTAATTCTTACCAAACAAAAAAAAAATGCTTATTTGTTTCCTGGAAATTTCAGTGTTAGTTTTAATCTAAGAAGTTACAATTATGATGTTATGATTTGCTTTGCAAAAGTATATTTTTGCATTTTGTTAAGTCCAGAAGAGAGCTAGCTGTTCCTTGTGTTGGAAAGCCTCCCTGGGGTGCGGGGAGGGGAGATGGGGCCAAAGACTTTTCAAGTAAGGAGTTGCCCATATGCTCACAGCTGAAGTTGTAAGGTTTATTAACGTGACCCGACAAAAGCGTGAACGTCATAAGCGTGCCGACAAAACCGCGGCGCTAAAACTGCGATGTCAAAAGCGCGTCGACAACAGCGCGCCGACAACAGCGCGCCGACAGAAGCGTGATTTAAGTTAAGGTAACATTTAGGGTTAGGGTTAGGGTTAGGGTTAGGGTTAGGGTTAGGGTTAGGTTTAGGGTTAGGTTACATCGCGCTTCTGTCGGC